AGAGCCGAACAAGTATATACAGAAATCATAAATAAGGCCATCAGAGACGTGGAATCAAAGGCAAACAGTCATCATGTCCTTGAGTTTGATCGATGCAATACACGTTTTCTAAGGAAAAAGAATCATGCATCGCTTGTTTCACCTTCAACAACTACAAACGCAATGGGAATTATGTTGTGTCTGCCTTACGTAACTTCCACCAATAGCGACCCTTTATATTTGCCATATAAAAATGTTCCATCTACTTGAACAATTGGTTTGCAGAAGGAAAAACCATCAATTCATGGTTTGAAGGTCCAAAATAACCTTTTGAAGAAAGCACTCCCCTCGTCCAATAAGTCATATTAGTATGCCGATTGTGTATTTAATTTTCAAATGAAGCCTGGAACATACATTTGCATTGCTTGCAACATACCTGGTAACTTGTTATATGACTCTTCCCAATTTCCAAAGATGTTTTCAATGAAATGTTGCTTCCCCAGTGATCCCTTTCTACAACTAATTCGGAGGACTTTTTTTACAAACTTATTTGGAGTTGATTTTACAACTCCATTTTCAGCATAAAGTTACCTATGCAATCTCTTTATTAGTTGGATTTTGCAAATGAACTCGATAGTTCCTCAAATGCTTTCCAACAAATTTCCCTTCAAAATGACCCAAATTCTCCACAACACTTATCCTGGATTCCAAGAGAAAGAACCACAACTAAGAAATCCACCACGTAACAGACGTTGCCCTCATTGTGGAACTGGCCACCATTACAGAGATAGTTAATAATTGTATGTAAAACATTGTGAAGCTTCCTTGCAACTTATAATTTATTTAATTCAAAATTTTCAAATAGCAACTATGCACCTCATCCATTAACGTAGTTCATTTCCGGAACATGTATAAATATCGTAGCGTAGTTGACTAAGACATCAACTTAAATTTAATTAAATAAATACCTAAACATAATATTATCACATATTTAAATAAATATGTAAACATAATATTACATATAAATTTATTAAAATTATAACTTAATAAATTATAACTTATTTTAAATTATAACCTTTTGAAATTATAACTTATTTAATTTTAAATTTATTAAAATTTTAACTTATTCAAATTTTAAATTATTCAAATTATAACTTATTAAAATCCTAACTTCATCAAATTATACCTTATTTTGTATACAGATTTTTTATTTATAATAATAATATTTTATTTTAAAATTATATAATAAATCAAATATAATTTTGTATTTTTTATAAAATAAAAAAGACCCTTTTTTAAATTTATAAATTAGTAATATTATAACTTATTAAAATTAAAATTTATTGAAAGTATAACTTATTCAAATTATAAATTTTTAAGATTATTTTTTATTTAAATT